ATCGATATCGCGTATTCAGTGCTATCCGTACCCGAGGCCTCGAAAGAACCAACCGCAACATGGTTTCAGGCGACTTCCGTTCTGTTCTCCATGCGCTGGAGAGTGCTGTCGTTTGCGCCCCGTGCGCAGCTTTGCTTCTGCTCATCGGCACTTGTTTGTATCCCTCGGAAGCTGTTTGCCCCCAAGGCGTGCTATGGCCCCTAGTCATGCAAGAGGCAAGCCGCGAAGGCTGAAGCCTGAAGCGTCCCCTTTGGAGCGCCGAGGTTCCGAGAAATCTTGGATCAGGCGGAGGAGGACCATTTCTACCCGGAGGACTACATCAAGAGGGGAGCTTTGGAGTTGTACTACGAGACCATCGACAACCGCGGCCACCCGCGCAGGCATCGTGGCGTAGCGCCTTCGAATTGGTTGGCGGGTTAAGGGCGGGCCGGTGCCATGGTCCTATTGCGCTGCCGTGCGCAACAGTTCGACCCTCCTCTTCCTTCCTTTCTCACCCCCCCATTCCCTAGTCTTCATGTCTCATTCATCTGTCATTCACCTCCACTTTATTGTGCCTTGCCACTCCACGTTTCGTTATATGTTTTGTGCCATCCCAGCCTCTTTTCCAAGAGTGAAGAGTTACACGAAAGGTGCTATCCTGTTTTTATACGTCGTCGTCGTCGCTGTCGCCGTCGCCGTCGCCGTCGTCTTCGTCGTTGTCGTTGGTCGTCGGTCTTCCGTCGTCGCCGTCAGCGTCATCGTCGTCTTGGCATCGGTGTTGGCGTCAGCGTCAGCGTCGTCGTCGTCGTCGTCTTCGCAGCCGCCGCCTTCGCCACCGCCGCCCTCGTCGTCGTCCCGGTTGTCTCTGTCGTCGTCGTCTTCGCCGCCGCCGCCGCCTCCGCCGCCGCCTCCGCCTTCGTCGTCGTCCCTGTTGTCCCTGTCGTCGTCGTCGTCGTCGTCGTCATTTTCGTCGGCTGCCTGCTCGTAATCGGGGGGTTTAGAACCCCTCCCACTTTTGGAGGTGGAGGTGGTGAATGGGGGGCTTCTCGCCGTGGTGTACGGGTAACAGAGCAGAGAGGGGACGGCTTTCGAAGGGGAAAGGGGTTCCAGTTCCGGGAGGGGTAAAGTAGGTTCTTGTGCAGCTCTCGGCGGCGAGCGAGGGGGGGAGGTGAGAAGGCGGCTGGACTTCTCAGAAGCCCTCGCGCCTTCTGAGAGGTTTTTTATCTAACAGCGAAGACTGATAGGTTTCTAGTGGGGTCAAAAGAGAGCAGCAGATGACTCCACAGGGGGGTCCGGGCGGCATCCGGGGAGCTGGGTCCGATGTCGTTTTTCGTAAACAGTCAGACACTTCGTACTCTTCGACCTCCCAGAACTCCATTCCCGGGCCACATTCTGAATGCCCGGAGCCAACTGTAGGCCACTTCGTGCTCTTCGACTTCCCAGAACTCCATTCCCGGGCCACATTTTGGATGCCCGGAGCCAACTGTCGGCCACTTCGTGCTCTTCGACTTCCCAGAACTCCATTCCCGGGCCACATTTTGGAAGCCCGGAGCCAACTGTAGGCCACTTCGTGCTCTTCGACTTCCCAGAACTCCATTCCCGGGCCACATTTTGAATGCCCGGAGCCAACTGTAGGCCACTTCGTGCTCTTCGAGTTCCCAGAACACCATTCCCGGGCCACATTTTGAATGCCCGGAGCCAACTGTAGACCACTTTGTGGTCTTCGAGTTCCCAGAACTCCACTCCCGGGCCACATTTTGAATGCCCGGAGCCAACTGTAGGCCATTTCGTGTTCTTCGAGTTCCCAGAATTCCATTCTTGGGCATGATTTTGAATGCCCGGAGCCAACTGTAGGCCACTTCGTTGTCTTCGAGTTCCCAGAACTCCATTCCTGGGCATGATTTTGAATGCCCGGAGCCAACTGTAGGCCACTTCGTGTTCTCGAGTTCCCAGAACTCCATTCCCGGGCCACATTTTGAATGCTGAGGCAGGCTGATGCTGAGGTTGAGGCAGGCTGAGGCTGAGGCAGCCTGAGGCTGAGGCCGAGGCTAAAGGCAGACTGAGGCTGAGGCTGAAGGCAGGCTGAGGCTGAGGCCGAGGCTGAAGGCAGACTGAGGCTGAGGCTGAAGCAGGCTGAGGCTGAGGCTGAGGCAGGCTGAGGCTGAGGCTGAGGCAGGCTGATGCTGAGGCAGGCTGAGGCTGAGGCTGAGGCTGATGCAGGCTGAGGCTGAGCAGGCTGAGGCTGAGGCCGAGGCTGAGGCAGACTGAGGCTGAGGCTGAAGCAGGCTGAGGCTGAGGCAGGCTGAGGCTGAGGCTGAGGCAGGCTGAGGCTGAGGCTGAGGCTGAGGCTGAGCAGGCTGAGGCTGAGGCAGGCTGAGGCTGAGGCCGAGGCTGAAGGCAGACTGAGGCTGAGGCTGAAGCAGGCTGAGGCTGAGGCTGAGGCAGGCTGAGGCTGAGGCTGAGGCAGGCTGATGCTGAGGCAGGCTGAGGCTGAGGCTGAGGAGGCTGAGGCTGAGGCAGGCTGAGGCTGAGGCTGATGATGAGGCTGAGGCTGAGGCTGAGGCTGAGGCAGGCTGAGCTGCTGAGGCTGAGGCTGATGCAGGCTGAGGCTGAGGCAGGCTGAGGCTGAGGCCGAGGCTGAAGGCAGACTGATGCTGAAGCTGAAGCAGGCTGAGGCTGAGGCTGAGGCAGGCTGAGGCTGAGGCAGGCTGAGGCTGAGGCTGGGGCAAGCTGAGGCTGAGGCTGTGACTGCGACTGCCGTTGCCACTGCGACTGTCATTGCGAATGCGACTACGACTGCGACTGCGAGAACAGCAGAATTGTACAACCGGATTCTCATCTGAATCTTAAGGGGAATGCTTCCAGATATGCTCCTACACATCGCTGTTAGGTTTCTTTGCCGGGATAATTCTTTATCTTCGGGGAATTGCTTGGAAAACTTCTCAGAAGGCCGGGAAACTTCCGAGCCTTCTGATCAGGCCTTCTCCTTCTCACTCCCCCCCCCCTCGCTCGCCGCCCAAACTCCCGCTCAAGACGTTTTGTCTTACGCTGTTGGAGGGAGGGTGGGCCCTCTGAGCCGTTCGGCCTGGATACCTGCACTCGCCGTCTTACTCCTGCTGCGTGCTCTACTCCTACGCTGTCTCCTACCCTTTGTTGACATGCACTCACGCTCCGCCACCGGGCTGGCCGATCACAACCGGGTCTGGGTCCTCCCATCCTGACCGTTCAAAGCAGAACAGCGTCAACGCTCTCTCTTCTCAACATGGATGATCCTTCTGCCGTCGACGTGGCAACATGCGTGGCAGTGATGGGGCGATGCGCACACCGCACCCGAAAGGGTCAAATGTCACCGTCGCCTCGGCGCCGCGCATACTTTTCTTACACTTGCACTCCCGCTTTTGCGCGGTGCACATTTGTTTCGTTCGCCAACTCGTCGTCAGCGGGATCGCGCGCGGGCGGGCGAAACGTCGCTTTCGCCCAAGCGCCGCGCAGATTTCGCTTGAAACTGGCGCTCGCCAATTCGTCGGCAGCCGTGCCGCGCGCGAGCGGGCCAAATGTGGCTCCTGCCTAAGCGCCGCGCAGATTCCGCCAGAAAGCGGCGCGCGCGAGTTGGCAGAATGGTGCTTTCGCCAAAGCGTCGCGCGGGGATTTCCCAGAGGTTCCGCTCCTATTTGGGTTCAGCCCATGTTTTCTCTTCGCCAACTCGTTGGAAGCAGGGCGGCGCGCGCGTGCGTCCGTGCACAAGCGCTTTCTGTTCGCTAGGTGGGCGCGCGCGAGTTTTAATTTCCAGTTGTGTCAGCATTGGTTCTTATGCCACTGGAGGGAGGCTGGGAGAGGGCGGGGCCGTCTGACTCTTGTGGGGTTCTTGGGGGCCTCCTGAGCCTCTTTACGAGGCCTCGGGGGCTGTATTGGGTGGGTCCCGCCTGTCGTCGTTGTCGTCTTCGTCGTTCTGGTCTTCGTCGTCGTGGTCGTCAATGAGCGAAGCTGAAATTTAATGTCCAGCCCGTGCGGCCGACCCGCTCGACCCGCCCGATGCGTCTAATGTTCACCGTCGTCGTCGTTCGACGTTGGCTGTCGGTCCTCTTTTTCTGTCGTCGTCTTCGTCGTCGTCGTCGTCGTCCTCGTCCTCGTCCTCGTCCTCGTCCTCGTCCTCGTCATCGTCGTCGGCGTCGGCGTCGGCGTCGGCGTCAGCGTCAGTGTCAGCGTCGTGGTCGTCGTCGTCGTCGTCGTCGTCGTCGTCGCCTCCGCCGCCGTCGTCGCCGCCACCGTCGTGGTCGTCAGCGTCGTCGTCGCCGGCTGCCAGCGCGCCAGGATGGGGTTGCAGGAAGCGGGGGGATTCTCGCAGGAGAGGTGAGGAGGGGTACTGATCGCGGAGCAGAGGGAGGGCGTTTGCTGGGGGGAACGGGTTCCAGTTCCGAGAGGGGGGAGTTTGTACATGCGCAACACAGCGCCCGTGAAGGACGCTCCGTCTTATGTCGTGGGAGGGGAGATGGGGAACAGGCGGGGCCCTTTGCCTCGTTCGAGCTGGCTGGCTCGATTTTTGCTCCTGCTCCTGCTCTCGTTCCTTCGCCAGGGTCCTCCTGCTTTGGTACCCTGCTGCCTTCTTGCTTCTGTCTCCTCCTGCGACCTCCTCACTCGGCTACTGGGGAAATTCAGAGCCGTTGGAAAGAGCCCCCCCAGGGTGTTCGAAGATGTCTCCTGGCCCCAAAACTGAGGCAAATGACGCCTACTCAGTTCGACCAGCTCCTCAAGGCGTCCAGCAAGAAGGACCTCCAGTGCTGGGCGACGGTCGCTCGTTACGAAATACCCGACATACTGAAGAAAGTGCAGCAAACTTTCATGGACCAGAAGGGCGTTTCCTCGAAGGACAATGGGGGCGGCGGCGAAACTGTTTGATTCGATCAGATTCCGCAACATGTCGTCATTGGCACGGTCGCTTGGCGAATAATGAATTGATGTTCGTGCCGGTTCAGGCTCGGGCATTGGACCGCACAGGCGATTCTTGTCTGCCTCATCGAGATGTCATGGGGCAACAGGTCTACGGCGCTCAGTATCGTTTTCGAGAGATCTAAATCGTACCATGTTTGTTGTTTTTTGCCTACGCACCCTGAGGTCGGATGCCATCTCCCTGTGCCGTCGCCCCAAGCCCCTCGCACACCCAAACCTGCTCCGTTCCCCCAATCGATGCCATAAGTCATTTTGATGCAGTTGCTAGCATCGTTGCTCTCACTGTAGCTGTCGTCAGGCCGTCATCGTAGCCATCATTTTAGCCACCATCCTAGCCATCATTGCGATTAAAGCTAGCATCATCAGGCTCTCATTGATGATCGTGGCTGTCATCGTAGCTACCATCACTTGGGCCTCGTTGTGGTAGCTGCTGCCCCCATGCGCGTGATCGTAATAGTGACCAGCCGCCAACACTAAGCCTACTCATCATAGCTACCACCCGGTCTTGTATGATAGCTCTTATCCAGCTGCTTGTGTCAAAACCTCGCCACCGTGACACCGCAGCAGGGAAACAGGTCAGATGTTGAGTTTCTAGACTCTTTCCACTTCGGCGCCCTGTCTAAACTATCATGGATCTTGAACGCTCATCCTTCATGTCAGGGGCTTCTTGATGGCTCCTTTGGGACCTCCTGGGGGCCTGTTGAGGGCCTCTGGAGGGCCCCTCCGGGAGCTCTCTTGGGAGCTTCTTGGGCCCTCTTGGGGACCGCCTGGGCTGTCGTGGGGCCCTTCTTGGGCCTTATTGGCGGAGCGTTGAAGGACCCAGAATCGGAGGTTGATAAAGAACCTTTATCCTGCGGAGTCGATAAGCGAATTGCCGTGTTTCGGCTTTCGAGACAGTGTTGCGGCCTGTTCCCACCAGGCCTGGTCCCGGGTCGTTTTCACTAAAGGATGTTTTGCTTCAGGGGTTTCCGTCCACCCCCGGCAAAGCCGAGAACGTTCAAATCTTTTAAAGGACCTGCGGGAAATTACGATATTGGCTTCATCCTCTTGGGGGCCCTCCTGGGGTTTTCTTGGGCTCTCTTGTGAGCCTCGTGTGCTGTGTTGAGGCTATCTTGGGCCGTGTGGGGGACAATGTGGGTCATTTTGGTCCGTCTAGCGGACATCTTGGCTCGTCTTATGGCTCTCTGGGACAATCTTTGTGCGACTCGGGGCCTTCCTGGTTCCTGGGCGAGATGGGTCCGCCAGCCCTGACGGCCCGACCCGCCCCCTCCGAACGGGCTGGACGGGGCTCCTGGGGGAGCGGTTCGGGAAGGGGTAATGATCTCACATGCCAGGGAAGTCGACATTTCGAATCTCGATATGCGACAGGCGCGCGCGCGTGCGAACTTCGAATTTCGCATGCGCGCGTGCGGCATTCGAATTTCGACGTGCGAATTTCGACATGCGCGCGCACGTGCGGCCCGCGCGGGCACTGTTGACGGAATGGCAGAAGCCAGTGGTCTCGGAGTGGTTTCAGAGAGTCCGCGCGCACAGAACTCTGGCATTTCTTGTTGCAGAGCAATGTTTGCCAGTTCGGGATCCCATACGGTGAGTCATTACACTGTGGACGTGTCAGCTGTGTTGTGCAAGCTCTGTGGCGAGAGGTGCGGCAATGAGGCGGCCACGAGGCGGCAACGAGGCGGCACCAACGGGGCCCCAGCCGAAACCCCGACACACCTACCCAGCACACGAGGCGGCAGCGAGGCGGCAACGAGGCGACATTAGCCAGTCACCAGCAGAATCCCGACACACCCACCCAGCGCACGAGGCGGCAACGAGGCGGCAACGAGGCGGCACCAGCCGAAACCTTGACACACCCACCCGGCGCACGAGGTCTTAGCGAGGCGGTAACGAGGTGGCACCATTTGGGCACCAGCCGACACCCTGATACGCTTGCCCAGCGCACGAGGCGGCAACGAGGCGGTAATGAGGCGGCACCAACCGGGCACCAGCCGACACCCCGACACACCCACCCAGCGCACGAGGAGGAAACGGGGCAATATCGAGGCGGCACCAACGGGGCACCAGCCGACACCCCGACACACCCGCCCAGCGCACGAGGCGGCAGCGAGGCGGCAACGAGGCGGCACCAACGGGGCACCAGCGGACACCCCGACGCACCCGCCCAGCGCACGAGGCGGCAACGAGGCGGCACCAACGGGGCACCAGCCGAAACCTTGACACACCCACCCGGCGCACGAGGTCTTAGCGAGGCGGTAACGAGGTGGCACCATTTGGGCACCAGCCGACACCCTGATACGCTTGCCCAGCGCACGAGGCGGCAACGAGGCGGTAATGAGGCGGCACCAACCGGGCCCCCGCCGACACCCCGACACACCCACCCAGCGCACGAGGAGGAAACGGGGCAATATCGAGGCGGCACCAACGGGGCACCAGCCGACACCCCGACACACCCACCAGGCGCACGAGGCGGCAACGAAGCGGCAACGAGGCGGCAACGAGGCGGCACCAACCAGGCACCAGCCGACACCCCGACACACCCACCCAACTGGGAACCAATTGGGCACCAGCCGACACCCCGACACCCACCCAGCGCACGAGGCGGCAGCGACGCGGCAACGAGGCAGCAACGAGGCGGCACCAATGGGGCTTTAGCCGAATCCCTGACACACCCACCCAGCGCACCAGGATGCAACGAGGCGGCAACGAGGTGGCACCGACCAGGCATCAGGCGAAACCTCGACGTACCCATCCAATTTGTTAGTAACACGAGTAACTGCATGCTCCGGAGAATCGAGCCTACCCCTCCTCCCACCATTGATTTCTTTATCTCCGGACAAGACACTTTTGGTCGGTGGGGGTGGGCGGGGGGGCGAGTTTATTATCCTTCGGCCAAATTCGAATCGTATCTGTATTGTTATTACTGGGTGCTTTTGCTGTTCTTACTCACACTGCAACTACTGCTATCACGACGGCGACTACGATTCTTATTCCCAACCCTCCTTGGTTGGGTATTCGTTTTGAATAGAGCAGGGTGGTCGCGTCACTCCTCCTGCCTCCCGCCTCCCTCTTGCCTCTTCCTGTCTTGCCTGCGGGGGGCTGCGATCTGTGAAACTGTCGCCACTTTCGAGGCCTGCTGGGGGGCCAGCACAGTGAGGGCCACGGGCGGATTCAAATTAGACCTCGCCATCCCTGGGGGGCTGCGATCTGTGAAACTGTCGCCATTTTCGAGGCCTGCTGGGGGGCCCAGCACAGTGAGGGCCACGCGGCGGATTCAAATTAGACCTCGCCATCCCTGGGGGGCTGCGATCTGCGAAACTGTCGCCATTTTCGAGGCCTGCTGGGGGGCCCAGCACAGTGAGGGCCACGCGCGGATTCAAATTAGACCTCGCCATCCCTGGGGGGCTGCGATCTGCGAAACTGTCGCCATTTTCGAGGCCTGCTGGGGGGCCCAGCACAGTGAGGGCCACGCGCGGATTCAAATTAGACCTCGCCATCCCTGGGGGGCTGCGATCTGCGAAACTGTCGCCATTTTCGAGGCCTGCTGGGGGGCCCAGCACAGTGAGGGCCTCGGGCAGATTCAAATTAGACCTCGCAATCCCTGGGGGGCTGCGATCTGCGAAACTGTCGCCATTTTCGAGGCCTGCTGGGGGGCCCAGCACAGTGAGGGCCACGGGCAGATTCAAATGA